ATGGAGCAAGTCAGAAGGGGTCTCCCAGGCCATCTAGTCTGACCCCCGGCTCTAGCCAGCTCTGCTCACGCCATGCCTACCTTACTCTTCTGAAAGAGGAAGAATAAATCAAAATCTGCCAATGAGCAGCCAACGGAGCAAAGGATCTCCTGAGGATCTGCAAAACACAAATAGAATTGTTTTAACGAAAGCCGTGCATCCTTTGGGGTATGAATGGAAGGCGCACAGTTCCATCTATGAGGCAGGGCGACTGAAATAAATGCTCTTCCATGTGCTGTTTACAAATGCGCAGCCTGCCTTTTGCCAAGCAGACCCAAAAAGACAGTGGGTGGTCACTGTGGCCCTGCCTGTGCCACTTCTGGGCCTCCCAGCAGGCCCACTGCCACGTCAGCTCTGGAAGGGTAGGAGGGGAATGGAAAGACCCGGGCGCAGCACTGGAGCTCGCGATAAGATGGGAGAGCATTGGCAGCATGTGCGCACCGGGCTTCTCCACGGAGCACCGTGCTTTTCCCTTAGACGGGGTCTCCTAAAGGCCTAAACAGAGCAGGCACTCTGTTGCCATCCTTCCAACTGCGCTGCAATGAAACAGAACTTAATTTCTGTTTAATCTATAGCAATGATTTCTACATTTAGATTTTATGGAAATTGGTGTCCTCATTTTTTGGGCGATGCATTTCCTCTGACTTTTCCCGATTTAAAATTCATTGGGAATGTCCCCTGACAATTAAACAAACTCCAGAGGCCTACACCATCGCACCCACCAGAATTTCCCATCTCTCCTTTCCTGCATGGCAATCCTATTTCAGATCCCATGTCGGCGATAATGTTTTCCATTTCTTTTCTTTTTGGGTTGCCATTAATCACATGTCCCCCTGATTGGATCCACAGGCAGCTTGTCCAGATTTCTTTTCTAGATCATATGACCTGTCTAGATCACAGTATCTTCCGGCACATAAATCCATCTATTATTCTGAAGTTTGCATCTTCCTTTTCTTCCCTGCAACTCTTTAATCTGCCAAAAACCCTTTAAAAGAGTGACCCACAGATCTTAAGCAGAAGCTGCTTCCCACACGGATCCTGAGCAGCTCATTCGAGTGTTCTTTCCCCAACATCCCTTCACAAAAGTCACGTGCTGCCATGCATTCCTTTAGCATTAATGCTTCCTCTGGGACTCAGACATTACAGAAATATGAGAACAGAGGCCTGCATGTGGCAGACATTCTGGAGAGGCTGTGAGTTTGCTGTACGTGCATGGAAAGAAGGAGTTGCAAAAAGAAACAGGAAAAAAAAGAACTTGCAGACCCTCTCTGCAGAATATAGCTGACATATGGATGTTTCTGAGCAGAACTTTGCATGTTAGTTTGAGGAAGCGAGGTTTGGGACGCTTCTGGCTGCATGCGATCATGCTCGGCATGATGAGGGACTCAAGAAGCCACAAAGAAGTGGAAATAATTGGGCAGGAATGAAAATATCAGCATGACTCTTTCAGCCTCAACGGCTGCAGATAAGATTTAACATCTGAGAATATCTTTAAAAACAATGTTGTCAAACTGCATGCATATATTGCTGGAACTCTTAAGCTGGAACACATTTCAGATTGATACGTTTTATGTCAATAGAGAATTAGATCTTTTTGTTTAATTTGCTTTTGGTCCACCATGTGTAGAAGGACCAAACCTGGACATTTAATGGAAGAGCATTCCATGCTTCTATACACTGACTGCAAACCCATTTGTGGAATGTGTCTCCCCTCCCCACCCACATAACACATCTGAGTTATAAACAGCCCAGGGAAGAGGAGTTAGAGAAGATTTGTAGCTTTCAATGTTTTCATTTAAAACCGAATCTATCCCCCACGTCTATATCCATACCCAATATACGATGACTACACCATTTCTTCTGCTGTTTTTCAGGAATGGAGACACGGTAAGCTCATAATTCATGCATACCTGCAAGGAAAAAGAAATGAGCTTTAATATAAAGGTCTGAGGAGAGGATAGTGTCCAGCCATCCTTTCCCCCCAGTTACTGGGCTTAGCAGCCAGGAAAGGGGTACACTGCCTTCTGAAGCTTCCTTGGCACCGAGGTCTAGCCTTCCAAAACCACTGCCCCACTTCCAGGGCGATGGGGGACGCACCGGCCTTGGCTCAGCAGTCCTGGCTGTTTATGCTGTTCTTAAGTCCATGCAACTCAAAAGCTTCCTTTTGCCAACTTTTTCTGTTGCACCTGGCTCTGGTTTCTGACACCTTTGCTAGGGCATCCTGAACTTGGGAAGGTAAATATAGGTGGTTGCTATAAACTGAGAGCAGGAGGAGGGGAATGATGTAAGCCGCTTTGAGTTCATTGGTAAAAAGTGGGATATAAATCTAATAGATCGATTGGTATGTGCTATGCTAATTTAAGGCACTTAAACATGCATTTCTGGCCTGTAGGGATATATCAAAACGTTCTTTTTGAACAGGCATGATGACACCATAGAATGGGTATCCTGAAATTACTATCCTATGATATGAAAGCTGTTTCTTTCTTAATAGATATATATCCTGCCATCCCCCCACCCCCCACTTCCTAACAACCTCATGATGAACATTAGACAGAATGACTGACTGACTCAGGGCCACCTAGCAAGTTTTGTGACTGGTCCAGAAATCTAACCACTACACCTCACTGCTTTGCAACTTTCTGACCCAGCATTTTCTGGGCAATCGAGCTACTCGCTAGCCGGTTTTGCACAATGAAAGTGACACCTGCATCCTGAATTTTCAAACTGTAGCCAGCTTGTCATAGTTCAAAACTGGGGACTTTGGGTTATGCAAGGGTTAAACAACCCACGCAGAACTCATTCCCTGTTTTAGGGTTGTAAGGGTTGTTTGACTACAGTCCTTGGGCTCCAGTGGCACAGAAAAAGTGATTGCCACTTAAATAGGCCACAGTAGATTATTTGATCACGTGAACCACCCCAGTGTGGCAAAAGAGGATTGTCACAAGATTTAACACGCCTCATTGATCTATGGTTTTTTTTTCTGGTTTCCTTCTCTTTTTTTGTTTTTTGTTTTTACAGAATTGCAAACTAATCCTTAAGGTAGCTTTGCAGAAGAGTTAAATTGCAGGTATTTCCAGGTTCAGCCGTTTTAAAATTAGAAACTGATAAATTGGAATGCACAAATTATAGGCTTCTCATGTTATTCAAACAACTCATACACTGCCTTAGCTGGAAGGCAGATAAAGGCCCTCCTATCTTCATATGCAGAGACTGAACAGAAATAATTGTGAATTATTCAGGTTCTGCCCAAATTTGCTTTCTCAGAAATACAGAAACTGTGGAAATGCTTCTGTTTCCCAAGGGATTTAATTGTCACATGTGAAAAAGGCTGGATATTTTTTCTCTAAAATAATGTATTTGTTCAGCTCAAACTTGTTTGCAAAACGGAAGAAGGCGGGGGTACCTCCTGCCTCAGTCTTTGGCCTTGACCTGCAGCTTCTTGTGCGTACTGAGCTATGAAGGTATTAAAATTGGCAACTGGTAACTTGAACTCCACCTTGGTGTTGCCAATGTGCCGTCTACATTTCCCAGCCTAGCCACATCACACTATCCAGACTGCTTCAGGTGACTCCTTCTGATGCTTGCTTGACTATGAACTAAAGTGGACAAAATCTGAAACATTATATTCACAGATTATGGGCACAATCCTGGGGATGCATAGAAATGAAAAGGTCTTACAACTTCCAGCATTCCCTAGCCAGTCACGACTGTGGGATGCTAGAAATCATAGGATGTGTTTCCATTTAAGCACGTATAAGATTTCACCTGGACTTCTCTATTGTCATTATTGGAAAGGTGCAATGGTCCCACCTGCCTACTGGGAGGAAAATTTTGCCTACAATAATGAAAATACGAAGTATTCTAGAAATGAACGTTAGCAAAACGTATAAATGGTCATTCGTCTTCCTAAATAAATAAATAAATGATTTCTATTCCACCCATTAGCCAACATGGCTAATAAACCCATTTTATTCCACTAGTTCAAGGAATACAGTGAAATATCCAAAATGGAAATGTGGAAATATAATATCCAAAATGGAAATGCGAATATAAATATCTTGGCGTTCGGTTGAATGAGCAACGGGATTGTAACAACGCAATAAAAGAACAAAGATAGCCTGAAGTAGCTTTTTTAGGATGAAAAATGTAATGTGTAAAATTGCCCTTAAGAAGGAGCACCGTAAAGTTATGTATTCCCACTTCTCAAGGAACTTAGTTTAATAGACAGCCTTAAAAATGGCAGAAGCGTTGGAACAGTGAACGCATTTAGGATGTTACACATTCCGTGGACGGAGGATAACGGGCAAAGGAGGATGAAAGAAAATGCACGCGGGATGTTTTCGGATCCAGCAGCGGCAACAGGCCAGCAAATGGGGCGTTTTGTCCTACGAGAAACTCCCGCAGCTCCAAGCAGCAGAGCGGCGCCCACAGGGGAACACACCTGGATTCTCCCCGTTTCAGAAGCTGCAGGTCCTACTGGGAGCCTGGGGCAGGTTCAGAACGCAGCCCGCCGGGCCTCACTGCGCGCTTCACGACAGCCCTGCGGGGTAGGCCGGGCCGGGGGCGGGAGCGGCGGGCCGCCCCTCCCCCTCCCGGCGGTGCGTGGGCCGGCGGCGCACAGCGCCCAGCATCCCCGGCGGGCGCCGCATCCCGGGAGGCCGGGCTTGCCGGCGACGGGGCGCCCG